TTTTTTTTTTTTTTTTTTTTTTTTCACAATGATATTTTTAAAATAAAGTGACTCTGACTACCATCGCTGTCCTGTGGATTGCTCCCCTCTCTCTCGCCCTCTGGGGTGAGGTCCCAAAGTGGATTTGGATTGAACTCCTGAATCTGGATGTGTTTGTGGAAAGGTGCAGAAAGGCAAGATTGAACTGCTTTTCTGCATCTCTGCTTAAAACGCGTCCAGATTCAGGAGCTTCATCCAATCCTTTTTGCTAGTGGGACCTCGGCCCTGGTGTTGTTGAATCGTCTATGGTGTGATGTTGGTCAGTCGGACTCCGTTTGACTTATTTGCTACACATTGTGTACCGTTTTTTGACTCAGTGCATCTTCTGTGTAAGGGCATCGCCCCACTACTCTCGCAATGTGCAAAATGAGGATGAACTTGCTGCAACCGCCACATTTTTTTGCACAAGGAAAGGATTTGTTGCCAAGTATCCCACCACCAGGCAATCCTCACTTTCGGTTTTTTTTTTTTTTTTTTTTTTTTTTTTCCGACTTTCGGATTCAAGAAACCTGCCAGCGAGTAAAAAGAAATTCCAGTCGGATTCAAGAAACCTGCCAGCGAGTAAAAGAAATTCCAGGCGTGCTCGCTAAGGCGCCGGCCAGTCCTACGTAAGAGTAGCAACAGGAAAGAGGGAAAGAAAATTCCGACAATCGCGGAAGAGACTAGGTAATGGTTGCCAAACGTGTCCAAGTACCGGGGACTACCATGGATGAGCCCCTCGGACAAGAAAGGCCAAAGTAACACGCCGGGGATATGCTGAGCCTGGACGCCCTGTTCACCGAGACTGCAAGTTGGACCTGGTAGAGGAACTGGAACGGGACGTAGATAGTCGTCCCCAGTTACGCAGCGGGTACTAACAGGAAAGAAAAAAAAAGGAAAAAAGGAAAAAAGGAGGGGGCTATAGGTAGGAGTAGTGGTAGGTAGGTAGTGTGAGGAAAATTGAGAGAAGAGTATAGTTGGAAAAAAAAAAAAAAAAGTAACTCGCACATGCAAAGAAGTCGTCGGTGCGTCGCAGGTACAGTCGAAAGTTTCCAAATTGATAAGCTTAAACCACCAGTACATTTGCCAACCATTTCTTCAAGACGGGCTTATCCCTTTTTTTTTTTTTTTTTTTTTTTTTTTTTTTTTTTTTTTTTTTAAATAAGACAAGCTTTGCCTTATGTTGATCGATTAGATTATGTTTCTATGATGGCACAGGAACATGCTTATTCTTTAGCTGTAGAAAAACTTTGTAATTGTGAAGTACCATTTCGAGCTCAATATATACGTCGAGTGTTATTTTGTGAGATTACCTGGATCTTAAATCATCTACTTGCATTAACCACCCATGCGATGGATGTAGGAGCATTAACCCCTTTTCTTTGGGCTTTTGAAGAAGGAGAAAATATTGTTAGAATTCTCTCGAATTCTTTTTTCGCCTTTCACTACCTTCCAGGATAACCCAGGGTTTCATGTTATTGATAATATGGATCCGGAAGAGGTTATAGAGATTTGTAGGGGGGAAAGTATTTTGCAATTAAAGCTGTCAACATTCCACCATCATGATGATGGGACTGCAAAGGGACCTTCAAGTTGGGCAATTGTTATGGCATCCCGAAACAAAGCGACATGTCCAGTGGCGACAACCCATCTCTCCGTCTTTCTCTCATCTCTCCGTCTTTCTCTGAACCGAGTCCGAAAGCCTGCTATGTTCATAGTAAGCCAGAGGGGTCAATTTCCTCCTCAGGCTATGGAACCCACCTAGAGGACCCCACTTCAACCTTCAATCTACTGCATTGCTCAAACCGGGCATCGAACTCCTTAAACCATCAGTACTTGGGCGACGCCTTAGATACGAACACGGAGCGTTAACGCTACGCGATTTCCGCGGCCGGCGGGCCGTTGATAAATCGAATCGACAGCCCGCGCTGCTTCGAGATTTGGGCGGCCGGCGCGGCGCGCAGTTTTGATGTCAGGTACTAGCCTAAGGGCCTAAGGGCCTGGCTGCACTATTCTCGAAATCTGAAAGAGACGAGAAGGTCGAAATGTGCAAAACGAGAGTGAATCATCGCGCAGTTTTGATGTCAGGTACTAGCCTAAGGGCCTGGCTGCACTACTCTCGAAATGTGCAAAACGAGAGTGAATCATCCACTAGAATATGGAAAGATGCACCGCCATGATTTTTGTCTTTTGTGAATGGAGAGAGTAGTGCAGCGAGGCCCCTAGTTTCAAGTTCGATATGATCAGGGACTCGAGATGTTTACAAGACTACCGCACACAATTTGATCAAATCGCAATTGCGGATAACGGGAATAGAACCCATATCCCCTGCTTGGAAGGCAGACAATTTACCTTTACTATATATCTGCCCATTTTTAACGCAGTAATTTAACTGGTTTAAACTTTGCCATGTGTTTATTGGGGAAGGGCACATCGGAGTGCGGGCTTCTCGCTGAAGCAGCGTGGATATCGTTGTTGGATCTGGTTTCCTCCTCCGAGTCAGCCCTCGGCCAAAGTCAGACATTAAGCTGTCTCAGAATCTTGTCGCTTTTATGACAGTCACTCTTTCTCCTGACGATATCTCCTCCGATATGCAGCACCTCTTCCTACGTGCTACGAGAGATGTGTGTCCCTGGCACTTGTGACACAAGAATGAAGAAAAGACGTTGCCAATGCACCAAACTCGACGCCAACTTGAAAAGCACACTCGACGACACTAGGACGTGACAGCTGGAAGCTTCTCCCAATTTTCTCGGATCTGCTACGAACGATTAACCCCTGATCCAGAGGCTTCCTCCGCTGATCTCCTTTTTCTTTTTCCTTTTTCTTTTTCTTTTTTCGTCTATTCTTTTTTCTTTTTTCGCGCCGCCTTCTGTCTACAGTGTTTCCAGTGTTTCCCGCCGGATGAAGCGGGTAGAGTTACGACGAGCGGGTTTTTTCTAGCGTTTTTTTTCTAAGAACGTATCTGTGCCGAGAGGATAACACCGCCGTACTAGGTACAACGCTTCTCAAATGCTATTTATTGCAGCTCTCGGGATCACACGAGCAAGTGCAAGCAGTCCCCTGATGATGGCCTCACTCTGGCAGCGAGGTCGGAAACGGTCGGGACGA